CTCTTGCCAGACTCATCTCTCGCAATTGTCCCCCTTTCAATATTCTCTTGGGAATAGGTCCCCGATCCCAAGTCTAGCTTAGGATTCCTTGAGGTCCTTCCCACCCTGTGCCTGTCACACGGTGTTGTAATTAGATGTCTGACTGCCTCCACGTACCCCGCCCCCCCAACTGTATGCTTCAGGAGTGCAGGAACCCCGACTCGCCCACCGCCATCCCCTCGGCACCTGGCACAGGTGCTCATCGCGTAGCTGCTGAATGAATGAATGAATGAGCGTGTGTATCGAGCTCCCAGCGGTTTTTTCTTATTTTTGTGTGTGTGAATTATTTATATAGTAAAGATCTTTACACCGCCACTGGCTGGGAATATGGTCCCCAGGCTATCCGCCTTTTAATGTTGGTTAATTTTTGGAGATGGGAGGAACACAGGGAAGTTTTAAATTCGAATGTAAGCAGACCTATTGATTTTTCTCTCGAGAACTCTTCGATCGCTTCTAAGTTTAGAAAGTCCGTCCCTCTCTGGATCCTTGATGAGTGTCCACGTGTGTCCTGCGCGCTGCTGTCAAGTTCATCTCCCCAACTCAGGGCTCTCCTGCTCAGAGTCTCCTTGGAGCCTTTAGGATAAAGTCCGCACTCGTTCACTTGACCCCCAAGGCTTTTCATGATTCGTCCGGAGCCCGCCCCTCTAGCCTTTTCCTCGCTGTCCCCAAATCAGCTGAGCTCCCCAGGCGACGGGTCTACTTCTCTCTCCTTGTGCCCTGCTCGCCCCCCTCCACGCCTTTGCTCCCGACGTGCCCTCCGCATAGGATGCCCAGCCTCCACTGCTTTCTTCTCTTTCTTCATTTCTATATATGTACGTCGTGTCCTTTCTTCAAGCCTCCTTTCTCCAAAGGGCCCCGCCTTCCCCTTCCTCCCAAGAGAGCAAAGGCTGGAGGGGTCAGAACATGAGCTTTGGAGCCAGACAAGCCTGGGTTAACATCCTAAACCCGTGGCGTGGTTTCTGTTGCCAAGTTATTTAACCCTTCCAAGTCTCAGCCCCCTCATCTGTTTTTGTTTTTTTAAATATAGTTTTATTGATTTCAGTGAGGAAGGGAGAGGGAGACAGAAACATCAGTGATGAGAGAGAATCATTGGTCAGCTGCCTCCTGCACGCCCCCCACTGGGGATTGAGCCCACAACCCGGGCTTGTGCCCTGACTGGGAATCGAACCGTGACCTCCTGATTCACAGGTTGACGCTCAACCCCTGAGCCACGCAAGCCGGGCTCAGTTCCCTCATCTTTAATATGGAAACAGACGGCAAAGAAGGACCACAGTGGGTGGCTGCGAGGGTGAACTGAGTCTGGTATCAAATGCCAGTCACCCAGCGTGGTCCCAGCCCCACCCCCACACTCTGCCGTTTGGAAGGCCGTCCCCAGGGGTCTGTGGCGGGGGCATGTCCTACCTCCCTCTCTAGCCACACCTGCCCCTGGGGGTCTGGCCGGGCCTGGAATTCCACAGGAGCTGAGTTTTCTGCTTGGGAGCTGGGAGTGGGCCAACAGGTTTCACCTGAGGGATCCGGCCCAGGCCCGCGGCCACCTTGGTGGGACGCCCGCGGCCACTGGGCCCAAAGGCCTCTCCTGTCTCCTTTCTGCATTGGGCTCTAAAGGTTTTGTCACTGGGAGACATTTCCGTCTGCCAAGGGGTCCACCAGCACCCCCTGCCCCTGACGATCAGCGCCCACAGATGTGGGTGGTCCTCCCAGTTTTACACCCCCCAGCCTTGGGGAGTCAGGGGCTCCGGGGGGCCTGGCGGCGGAGGTGGGGGAGACGTGGGAGCTCCGCCCTCGTCCGAGCCGGTCAGGGCTGGCGGGGAGCCCAGGGTCTGTGTGTTCTCTCTGTGACCCCGAGCACCGAGCACCGCACTCGAGCAGCGGTCATTTGGGGAAGAGTGGGGATGA